GATATAAATAACCTAAGCTACTCTATCCCTTTGAGATGTATTGTATTGTCTCAATAAACGTACTCGAAATTGATAGGTTCTTATCCTCCCGTGAGTAGGCTACACTCCATCTTATCGGTCAACGATGTCCATTTTCTTACTTATGAATTCTATGGAAGCTCTCTCTAAAACTAACTTTTTATATAAACTCAAACTATTTACATCTTTTTGTTTATAATTAGCTTGCACTATTCAATCGTTTAATTTGTTTTTAATGGTAGGTACTGTCACTTGTCCCTAGGTACTGGCAGGTACTGTCACTATGTCCCTAGGTACTGGCAGGTACTACAGAGGGCCCAAGAAAGAATATCCTCTCCAAATTGTAAAGCACTCCGTACATGTCCCAAATTAGGCTTAATATTGCTAATATCAGGCTGAGAGTTGCTGATAAAAGGCCTGAGAGAGGTTAGGCTGTTGTCGTAATGTCCTTTAATATTCCAACTGTCCGAAATGAGGACTTATTTCGTGTGCAATAATCCATATTCTGTACAGTCGCTGAGGGAACTGTATTTTGTGGGTGAAGCAAATGGACTGTGAAGTGCCGTTGTCTGGTGGTCCAGCGTTGCTTGAGAGAACACAGGTTGTTCTTGACAGTGTGAACACTTAGGCTGCTCTTGACAGTGTGAACACTTATGGTGCTCTTGACAGTGTAAGCACTGAAGTTGTTCTTGAAAGTGAGAACACTGAAGCTGTTCTTTCTTGACAATGTTTACAGTGTTCTCTCTTATACATCCCTACCCTTCAGAGTGTTTACAAGCCCTTACCCACCTTTGACCTGGGTTTAAAACACTCCTTACCTGGAAGATACCTGGAACTTACTTGGAGAATACCTGGAGCATACTTGGAACATACCTGGAGAGGGTTTCAGTAGTTCTTCTACTCCCCGAGCCCGGCCTGAGGCCAGTGGATGGTGCTGATTAAATTATGTTATCCTGTAGCCATTTTTTTTAATGCTTCTACGGCACTGACCGAATCTCAGTGGACGACCATATATATCTGTCTGAGTTTACCTGAAGGCATCTCTAGTGGCCTCGACAGGGACAGGAAGCTGGCGGCTTCAATTATTCCCGAGGATGCCTTGTGTGGGAATAGTGTAGCGTTTTATGTATGGCAACCATTTCTGCTAGCAAGGGAGAACATCTATTGGTCTACTTTCCTGGGAGTTTTCGTCTTGCAAACTCTAATGGGATTTTGATTTAGATGGTTTACTGATAAGTGATTCATATAATTTTCTTGCCAGTTAATGGAGTGAATAAGTGCAGTACAGCAGAAAAAAAAAACATCGTTTACAATAGACGAAATATATGGCGTAACATTAGAATGATGAAAATATAAGGTGAATGATAAGCAAAACAAATTATAACATTAAGTAATGTGCACAACCTTAGCATATTACATGACAGGTTTTGTCGACTGTAGGTGAGGATATTTCCTTGCTTTATTGTAATGTAAATATTGTATTTTTTGGTATTTAAAATAAAAGAGAGAGAAAAAAAGATTCAGGGGCTGGCCTGGAGCACAAATCCAGGCCTGGATTTGTGCTTCAATCTTTAAAGCTCTGGACACAGCTTATGTATCAAAGATTAGATTTCAACAGGATCTGAAATGCTTGTCAATGTGAATGAATGTGTCTCTGTGACACATTCTTTAAGACACTCTGTGACACATTCTTTAAGACACTGTGACACATTCATTAAGACACTCTGTGACACATTCTTTAAGACACTCTGTGACACATTCTTTAAGACTTCCAATTATCCACCTGCGGATATTCCTGTTTTCTGTGCTGTCTAGTTGTTTTATTCTATCATGTAGGCCTACACCACCATTATCAAGCCATTCTTCAACAACGATAGTACTTAGGCAACTATTGGTCGAACGTACAAAAATGGACCGTTGTATCCAAAACAGTCCCCCGTTATGTATAATACTGGAATACACCAAATGACATATCGAAAAGTGGAAGTGACAACACAGCCTAGTCCAACCTGTCCTAGGAATAAATCAGGAACCTTATCCCTAATATACGCCTTATTAGTTTTTATTTAAAATGTGCTCTACTAGCCAAATGAAAGTTTGATTTAGGCTGTTGCCTACTTAGGGTTAGCTCTAGTAGTCATTTATCTTTCTAATCTTAATTTTTTTTAATGAGGCTAAGAATAACGCTCCAGGCTGGCATCCTGTGGTTTGTTTAAGACCTTGTACAATAGCTTGCAATCTTTTTTTATCATCAGTTTTGCATAATTAGCAAACATTAACATACGTAAGGTATCGTGTAGCAAGCCTTGCTCTACTAACACCCCTTCACGCTGACATTTCCTCTGCCACTCTGACTTTTCCATGTCTACTGGCGACTGTCTCATGGGGTTGAGTACTTTTTGTACCTGGAATACCAGCCAATTTCTGTATCCTATATAATAACCTCTTACGAGGAACCATTATCAAAGGCAGACGTTGAGTCACAATAACGTAACCAAACCACACATCAGAGAATGAAGAAACGATGATATGTTGACCAGACCTCACACTAGAAGGTGAAGGGACGACAACGTTTCGACTTGAGAATGGTCCAGGACGGACCGAAACGTCGTCGTCCCTTCACCTTCTAGTGTGTGGTCTGGTCAACATTCTTCAGACACGTTATTGTGACTCATCGCCTGCAAACGATGATATTTCGGTCTGTCCTGGACCAGGATGGACCGAAACATCGTCGTTTCTCCATTTTGGTTTATTTATCAATGATCAAAGGTCTTATGGTAGTCTAAGATGATGTATCCTGCCAGTCTTTTCTCTTCTGACGTATCTTAATCACCCCATCATAGACTGGTATCATGTTTGTCAAGTGTCGCCATAGAACCTCTTGATGAACTGTGAATAGACTGATGATTTACATATATTAACAAACCTTGTAACTCGCTTATCATCAATGCTGTAATTGCTTTACTAACCAATTTTGGGGTTACGATCTGAGCTCATTATACGTTTCTATGATTTTTTTGGGTAAGTGGTAAGGGTTACAGAGGCACATATAGGCTTGGGAAGTGACCCTCAAAATTCGTTTAGCTAAGCTAGTTAAGGTATTGATGAGCTACTTGTATAGTTTAACATACACCATACAATCTATTTACAATTAATCAAACGAACATCATCGTACGTCGGGTACACAATAAACGAACACCATCGTACGTCGTGTTCATAATAAACGAACACCATCGTACGTCGAGTACACAATAAACGAACACCGTCGTACGTCATGTACACAATAAACGAACACCGTCGTACGTCATGTACACAATAAACGAACACCGTCGTACGTCGTGTACACAATAAACGAACACCACCATCGTATATCATATACACAATAAACAAACGAAGCACAATAAAAACTATATTAAAGGGAAAGCTATGCAAAGATTATTATATATATATACACCCAATTACAATTTAGCCCTTTATATATAATGTAAATTATACATTTTTGCTGTTGTTAAATATAATATAATGATAATAGGGTTGTGGAGAGTCTGGCTGGCTACCAGCGATGCTATCACGTGGTCACTCACTCAATGGCGCATATATGTAAGGTACAGTCGCAATGCGTCACTCAACGGCATCCATTCGCCACCCTCTTGTGATGATACGACAAATTGGTTGACTGAGAATGATATAAACTATATATAAATGTCGAATTTCTCCCTTGTAAATTGATATAAGTATGATCTTTATATTGTATATGATTTTAATAAAGAAAAGAAAATGACCACACTGGGAGGATTTCACACGTTTGTGTATATATATAAATATATAACCCGAACACAATTTTCATTTTAAGATACTAGTATAGTGACCTATGTAAATGAGTCGGAAAAGAGCTATTGCAAGTTGTATTTTAAGCTCTGCTGGGGATAATATATGTTTGATACACGCGGTCGCTTTAATTGATTTCAGTGGCGCAGCTGTAAGCTATATGTATAAGGGGTTCATTGTAGTGCCTTAATCTATCGGATAGGGGACATTTTTATATTGCATTGTAATAATGATAATCAAAAGCAACTATAAAGAATGAAATAACCAGCATAAATTGTTTACTATCACTGACTTTTGTCTGCACTTGTAAACACAAATTCCACGCGAGAGAATCAAGAACTCTCTAAATATTGATGTAAAAACAGGAGAGATTATTGATCACTAGAAACTTCCCAACACCGGAAAGAGACGAACCACACCATAACAATAACGATAATTAATTTAGCAACAGTACATACATAGTTGCCGAGTTACAGTACAAACATTCTATTAGATTTAAAGATAAGAGATAGTATATACAATACCTAAAGCCACTAGCACGAATAGCGTTTCGGGCAAATGACTGAGAGAACTAATAAACACGAGATAAGATACAGTAATACGTTTATTGTTTGTGATATGTGTCTATGTATATATTAACACGATGTACTGAACGGAGTGAGAATAGCTTGAGCTACCTCATCCCTTTGTGTGTATTTTACCTCAATAAACTTATTTATTTATTTTATTTATTTATTTATTTATTTATTTATTTATTTATGCATATACAAGAAGGTAAATTGGGATTGTGAGGATACATAATATGGTAATTACAATGAGGATACATAATATGGTAATTACAATGAGGATACATAATATGGTAATTACAATGAGGATACATAATATGGTAATTACAATGAGGATACATAATATGGTAATTACAACGAGGATACAGAATATGATAACTACAATCTTGTAAACCCACTTAGTACGCGCAAGCGTTTCGGGGCCAGACACGCTGAAATTTATAATTTCAATTACAAGATACAGTAGTGTATATATAAAAATTGAGGGATAATTGTTATATTTTTCAAAAAAGGGCGCCAAGCACCTGTTTTTAGAGCGGGGTTCAAATTTGGCGGGCGAGGGAGGGCAGGTGTAGACGCGGAGGAATACACGCCTCGGCGAGACAGCTGTCGGGTGCGGCCATATTGTGGGAAAGGTTCTTGTGCTGTGCGAAAACTTTCGACATATCTCCGTTTATCGGCGTCATCAGCGCGGGTCCACCATGACGGAGCGGGAGGATAATGTCTACAGGGCCAAGCTCGCCGAGCAGGCTGAGAGATACGACGGTAGGGACGCCAGTAGGATGATATATAGAGATATATATATATATTTGTGTGTGTGTGTGTGACATTCTTGGGGCGGGCGGCACCCACCCACTAGGATGAAAAGGTTTTCAAGTTGACAGTCGATGCGCGTTGGGGGCTAAGCCGATGGGGCTTTTATCAGCCCTGGGTGGTGTTGAGGGCCCAGCTAGGCCCTTCGCCGAGGGGCCCCTAGGGCCCTTAAATGTTTGAGAATAGCGGTAATGAATGTGGTGGGCGGCCGTGGGAGGGCCCGGGAGAGTGGGCGTGAGCGGCCCTCGGCCTAAATTTTTTGACATTTTGAAACGCGCAGTTGGACCGCGTGATCAAAGTCGGGAATATCGATCATGGGTGTGGGGGTGGGCGAGGCCCCCCTCCCCCCCCCTGGAGCCAGGGGCGGCTGCCCCCACCATGGCCGCCCACGGCATCCCACGGTACTCGTGGCCGGCTCTTAGGGCTCCGAGCTGGCCTCCCACGGTACCCTATAGGAGGATCCCACGGTATTAGGGTGGGAGGGGGGGTCAGAGTAGGTCTCCCACGGTACCCTATACAGGAGGCTCCCAGGGTGGGAGGGGGGCCGAGCAGGTCTCCCACGGCACTGGGGTGGGAGGGGGTCCGAGCAGGTCTCCCACGGCACTGGGGTGGGAGGGGGTCCGAGCAGGTCTCCCACAGCACAGGTGGGAGGGGGTCTGAGCAGGCCTCCCACGGTTCCGGGGTGGGAGGGGGTCTGAGCAGGCCTCCCACGGTTCCGGGGTGGGAGGGGGTCCGAGCTGGCCTCCCACGGCTCCGGGGTGGGAGGGGGTCCGAGCAGGCCTCCCACGGCTCCGGGGTGGGAGGGGGTCCGAGCATTCCTCCCACGGCTCCGGGGTGGGAGGGGGTCCGAGCAGGCCTCCCACGGCTCCGGGGTGGGAGGGGGTCCGAGCAGGCCTCCCACGGCTCCGGGGTGGGAGGGGGTCCGAGCAGGCCTCCCACGGCTCCGGGGTGGGAGGGGGTCCGAGCAGGCCTCCCACGGCTCCGGGGTGGGAGGGGGTCCGAGCAGGCCTCCCACGGCTCCGGGGTGGGAGGGGGTCCGAGCAGGCCTCCCACGGCTCCGGGGTGGGAGGGGGTCCGAGCAGGCCTCCCACGGCTCCGGGGTGGGAGGGGGGTCCGAGCAGGCCTCCCACGGCTCCGGGGTGGGAGGGGGGTCCGAGCAGGCCTCCCACGGCTCCGGGGTGGGAGGGGGGTCCGAGCAGGCCTCCCACGGCTCCGGGGTGGGAGGGGGGTCCGAGCAGGCCTCCCACGGCTCCGGGGTGGGAGGGGGGTCCGAGCAGGCCTCCCACGGCTCCGGGGTGGGAGGGGGGTCCCAGCAGGCCTCCCACGGCTCCGGGGTGGGAGGGGGGTCCGAGCAGGCCTCCCACGGCTCCGGGGTGGGAGGGGGGTCCGAGCAGGCCTCCCACGGCTCCGGGGTGGGAGGGGGGTCCGAGCAGGCCTCCCATGGCTCCGGGGTGGGAGGGGGGTCCGAGCAGGCCTCCCATGGCTCCGGGGTGGGAGGGGGGTCCGAGCAGGCCTCCCATGGCTCCGGGGTGGGAGGGGGGTCCGAGCAGGCCTCCCATGGCTCCGGGGTGGGAGGGGGTCTGAACAGGCCTCTCATGGCTCCAGGGTGGGTGTAAGGGGGAGGGGGTTCGGAAAGGCTTCCCACAGCACCAGGGTGGGTGTAGGGGGTGTTTTCGAAGCTCTTTTTTTTGCTAATGTTCTTTAATTCCTTATAGTTCTAAGTTCTAAAGTTTTAAGTACAAGACCCCCATTATTTTTCATTGGGCATTTTATAATACTATAATTATACAGGCCAAATTCCTGGAAAATTACCTTTAATTTGTGAAATAAAAGTATTTGCCCATTTTGGACAATGGTGTTTAAAGTTCTCTCAAATTAGTTCAAATAAATTATTTACGGCTGCGTGGTATGAAGCTTTTAGTGCGCGGATTGTTCGTTCAAACGTAAATTTTTTATGCCATTTTTACTGTACTAAATTATTGCACTCTATTGTATGTTTTGTTCACCATTGACTAGTCTACATTTTACTTTATGCTTTAAGTTAGGTTTGATTGTATTAGAATCTGTAGGGAAGCTTTAGATGAAGTACAGTGGTTGATAACTGCTGGATGGGGTTCTGGGAGTTGTTCTACTCCCCAAGCCCAGCCTGAGGCCAGGCTTGATTAGAGTTAAAAAGTGCTATGTACTATGATGGATGTATGTGTTGGATCTCTCTTGACGGCACAAAAGATTACCAGAAGAACTTCCACGTTTACAGCTTTTTCCATGCCTAAATTGATGAAGCTGTGGTACTGGTGTCTTGTGCAATGTTCATTGCTGTATTGAATAAAATAAGTCTACAGCACAGGTGATACACTACTGGCTAAATTGTTTTTGCACATTCTTTAGGGTTAATGTTCCTGGCGCACTGTTGTACCCCAAAAAGTACAATACCCTCGGGCTGTTACCAAAAGATTGCAGTACGATATTAGTTTGATTAGGTTAGGTAAGATTTTGTTTCTATATATACTCGTACAAAGATGTCCCCTTACTATAGTAAAAACTGGTCTGGATTGCATTTGATGTTACAGATGGAAAAGTTTCGATTGCAGGTCCCCCCCACCCCACCCGACTCATTTCATTTGGATAATGAAAATTTATTCTAAGGGAGAATATATCTAAGGGAAAAGGGAGAAAATGGCAATAAGAAGTTTGCTGCATGTACCATGCTTAATCTAACCTAACCTCAGTTAGCTCTCGGTATTTGTACTCTGGTATAACCTTAGTATCCAGACAAATGTATGGCTGAAAAGAGCATGTTAATACACTTCAAGTATGTTGATAGTTAATTCCACTAACTTGGGTGGTGCGCTGTCAGTAGTGGGGAACATTTAATGGTGAAACTGTCCCAAGACAAAAAAATCCTTCACAAGAAATAGCTGTACATTTAGATACTAAGGTTTTACCCTACACAAGGAATAAAAAAAACTAACTAATGAAGTCTGTCTGAAACGTGTGCCATTGAGGAAAGCCAGAAAGAGGTCCAACGTAGAAAAGAGAATGCAGACAACACTAAAAAGAAAAAAATAATAAATGCTTAAACAGGCATGACTTTCCATACAAAGAAGGAATAATTTAAAAAGGGAAATTGAAGAAATCGAACAGACGAAACATTCGTATCGGATTGAAGAGAAGGAGAACAAAGCAATTTAAGAAATAAAGAAAAACCCAAAATATTTTTTCACATGCGAAATCAAGCAAAAACCACCAAGTATTGGATCTATTCGTACAAGTGAAGGTTCATGCACGGAGGAAGACAAAGAAATCGTTGAAATGCTAAGAAAGCAGTATGAAGACATGTTTAGCACTCCAAAATACAGCATGAAAGTGGAAGATCCAGACAGCTTCTTTGTGTGATATCCAAACCCCTGTAAATATAACAGATATCAACAGAAGCATGGCAGATTTTGAAAGGGAAATTGACAACATCCCCATGCATTCAACTCCGGGGCCAGACTCTTGGAATTCAAATTTTTATTAATAAATGCAAGATGCCAGTAGCACAGGCACTCGGTATAGTGTGGAGGAAGAGTGTGGACACGGGAGATACCAGATGCTCTTAAAGCAGCAGACATAGCCACTCCCCTACACAAGGGAGGGAGCAAAGCATTGGCAAAGAATTAAACCAGTTGCACTAACATCCAACATAATAAAAGTATTTGAGAGAGTGATCAGGACTCAGGTCACTAGTTTCACGGAAACCAATGACCTCCACAACCCATGCCAACATGGATTTAGAGCAGGAAGATCATGCCTCTCACAGGTACTTGACTATTATGACAAAATCACTGAGACAGAAGAAGAAAAACTGAACGCTGATGCGGTATACAAGGACTTTGCAAAGGCATTCGATAAATGTGAACATGGAGTGATAGCACACAAAATGAGGTCAATGGGAATAACTGATAAAGTAGGAAGCTGGATACTTGGTTTTCTGTCGAACAGAACAAAGAGTAACAGTCAACCATATAAGATGGTCAAAGTGCAGTTAGCTCTGTTCCTCAGGATACAGTCCTTGCACCACTGCTTTTCCTTATTCTCGTATCAGATATAGACTCAAATAAGTCAGTTTGTATCATCCTTTGCAGATGACAAAAATCAGCATGAAAATTACTTCTCTTGAAGACATTGAAAAAACTATAAGCCAATATTGATAAAAGTTTTTGACTGGGCAGCAGATATGTTTAACAGTGAAAAATTCCAGGTACTCGGGTACAGTATAAATGAGGACCTTAAACATAGTACCGGGTACAAAACAATCAAATCTACCCTTAGTAGGAAAACAGCATATAAAGGATTTGGGAACAATGATGTCTGACGACATAACGTTTAGGGAGCATAACCAAACAAACCTTGTCAGCCAGAAAAAGGATAGGATGGATTATGAGAACTTTCAAATCCAGAAATCCCATCATAATGGTTGTACTCTTCAAATAACTTGTGCTGTCCTGGCTTGAGTACTGCTCAGTGCTCACTTTCCCCTTCAGAGCAGGAGAAATTGCTGAAATAGAGGGAATTACAGAGATGTGATAAAAGCACCTAAATTATTGGGATTGCCTGGAAGCTCTTCAAATATACTCAATAGAAAGGAGACGAGAGAGAGAAAATAATACATACGTGGAAAATACTGGACGGTCAGGTCCCAAATCTGCACAGTAAAATAACAATGTACTGGAGTGAACGATATGGAAGAAAATGCAGACTAGAACCAGTGAAGAGCAGAGGTGCCATAGGCACAATCAGAGAACAATGTATAAACATCAGAGATCCACGGTTGTTCAACATCCTTCCAGCGAGCATAAGAAATATTGCTGGAACAACTGTGAATGTCTTCAAGAGAAAACTGGATAGTTTTTCTTCAAGGGGTGCCGATTGGCACCCGGTTAATCCTCCCCGGCCAGGATACAAACCCA